AAAAAAAAAAAAAAAAAGACCGGGCATGGTGGCGCATACCTGTAATCCCAGTACTCGGGAGGCTGAGGCAGGCGGATTGTTGTGAGACCAGCCTGGGCTACAAAGTGAGTTCAAGGCTAGCCTGAACTGCATAGTGAGACCCTGTCTCAAAAAAACAAAAAAACAAAGGTGAATGTAGGCAAAGAGAATGAAATTCATTTTCTGCTGCGGTGAGCTGAAAGAAAATACTGTCAGAAAACTTTGGGCTAGAGATATAGCTCAGTGGCATAAGTGCCTGCCTGGCAAGTGCAAGGTCGTGAGTTTGATCCCTGGCACCGCAAAAAAAAAAAAAAAGTTCACGTAATGGCAGAGGATAGTCTTAAGCAGTACGCAAAATCCTCAGCTTCACTAGTTTCCAAAAAGTTGACAAGATAGACTAAGGCTGTGAAAGGTCTCACTGGTTTAATTGTGGATGAGTGTAATTAATTGGGGATTCACCTGTTGCTTAATATCACCCACACCCCTGCTTTCCATTGATGTAGCTCCTAGTTTTGCCTATAATGTAGGTTTTCCTTTCTAAGCAAGCCTTTTTCTGGTAGAAGTATTACTTATAATAATAATGTTGCCTTTAAAAAAGCAAAGATAAGGAATAAGAGAACTAAAATATGGCTGGAATAATCTACCTATCTTTACACTCCATTATTAGAAATAATAATAGTTTTCTCTTGTGGACTGAATGGAAATGATAATAACATTTAATTTAAAAAAAAAATTTATTTTGAGACAAGGTGTCTCTACACAATTCAGGCTGCCTTTGAACTCGCTTTATAGCCCAGGTTGGCCTTGAACTTGAGGTGATCCTCTGACCTCAGCCTTTAGAGAGCTGGGATTACAGGAGTGCACCACCATGCCCAGAACATTTAAATTTTTATCATTTTCTGAGGCTCCTGGAGGGAGGGTCCCGGGTGCACGGGGAGCCTCAGGCAGGGAGCGTCGGTCTTCGGACCTGCGGCTCACTCCTGGCCTCGTAGGCCCCCAGAAGGAGGGCTTCCAGCTCACAGGGAGCCACGGGTGGGGAGCGCCGGTCTTCCAGCTGGCTAGCTTCCTGCCTCGTAGGCTTCCGGAGGGAGGGCCCCGAGCGCACAAGGAGCCTCGGGCAGGGAGCACCGGTCTTCGGACCTGCGGCTCACTCCCGGCCTCATAGGTCCCCGGATGGAGGGCTTCCGGCACACAGGGAGCCACGGGCGGGGAGCGCTGGTCTCCTGGCTGGCTAGCTTCCTGCCTTGTAGGCCCCCAGAGGGAGGGCCCCCAGTTCCCGGGAGGCCACAGGGCAGGGAGCGCTGGCCCTTGGGCCGGCCCCCAGCCTAACAGGCACCTGGAAGGAGGGGCTCTGGTGCACCGGAAGCCACACGGCGGTGAGCGCTATTGCACACCAGCCCTCAGGCCGGCCACCGCTGCTTCATTGAGAACTACCATGACACAGAGAAACATTGACACAATTGGCCCACCATGTACCAGTTTCAGGTGCCCACCCACAGATGTGTCTGAATCATTCAAACATGGAGAAACCCCTGGGAATACATGCCATACAACAGGTCACTCTTGCTCCTGCCATTGAGAACCAGAAAGG